CAACTACCACACACTAACAGGTGTGTGTGTGTTCGTATGTTCACAAGAATATTATTGGTGTATACGGTGGCGGTGGCGGTGGCTGAGGGTCGGTTTGCATCAGCAGGTGGCAAATCATCGCATTTTGGTTCTTGGCCGCCGCTTTTGCGTACACAGCAAAACGTTGTCTTCGGTCGGATTAATATTGATTCAAAGAACTGCTCTCTTTTTGTAAGAAACTTGTTTGTTTCCGCCTTTGCTTGGAATATTTCGTATTGTCGGCGGAGATAGGCCATTACATAGGGCGCTGCCGACACTAGCTAAGCGTAGATGGTATGGTGTGGCGGCAGTGTGGTGACGATGGGGAGGCAGATCTACGTTTTTTTGGTGGATCAGGCAGAGGACGGTGTGGGTAGAGAATTCCCGCTGGCTCGAACCTTAATCGACTACGTACATGTTCAATAGTCGATTAAGCTAATCGACTATGCTCTGATAGTCAATTACGGTTGATTTTTTGATTTTTTTATGATTTTTTGTTTATTGATTTCAATTGTATAAATCAATTATAATGTTTTGTATATTTTTTGTCTTTTGTAAAACATAGTTGATTTTGCATTTTTTCGCAATTGTGATTTGTTATGTTTAGTAGCAGATTCTTAATCGACTATGCTTCATCATAGTCGATTAATATACCTGATATAGAAAAACAATTAAAAAACAAAAATAACAAATTAAAAAATTAAAGATTTTCCTTAATCGACTATGAAGCATAGTCGATTAAGGCTAATCGACTATGCTTCATAGTCGATTAAGGAAACTGATACAAAAAAAAAAAAGAAACAAAAAAATTCGCTGAGCGCGTGACCCAGTGATGATGTGACGGGCAGGGGCAAAGCTGGAAAACACAATGGCTCAAAATGGGTGTGGGCTTTTCTCAAATGGACTGAAATATTTTGGACCTCTCTCCATTAAAAAAAGTAATATGAGGGGGGTTTCCTCAAAGAGCCCCTTTGTCTAAAGTCGATATTCTCTTACATACTCAATAGATGGATAATTCAAACACAATCGTAATCTAAATCAACCTCTGTCTATTTTCAAATTGTTAAAGAGTATCTTATCTAATAACAAGTAAAACTCCATTCAAATTTTTTTACATAACTTAAAAAAAAAAAATCATTTGGTAAACAAAAGAAATGTAAAAACATAAGATTAGGGTAAGTAATTTAAAAAACAGAACATAGGGGAAGTAATTATAATTTTATAATTGTGTATGAAACACGTTGATTTTCATAATGTTTTTAACTCTCTTATTTTTCAAACTAAATTTTAGTTATGGTTAAGTGCTTAGTGGACTAAGTAGTGCTTAGTGGGCTAAGTATAATACTTAGTGGACTAAGTAGTGCTTAGTGGGTTAAATTGTGGATATTATCTTAACTACTAAACAAACCCACTAACCCATGTTCTTGAGTGCTCTTGTAGTTGGTTTTCTTGCAGAGCATGGGTTGAGGAGTGGAAGCTTGGAATGTCTATAAATACCGACTTCAAGACTCAAGGAAAGTTGCGGATTCTAAGAAATAAAAACCGAGAGCTGAAAAGAATACATGAGATTTTTAGTGTGTTTTTAGAATCTGTTTTTACGTAATCCTCAAGAGTACATTCTTTACGTACTCCTCATGAGTACATTCTTTACGTACTCCTCACGAGTACATTCTTTGAAATCTAGAATTTTTAGTATTTATCTTTTTTTGTTTCTAGATTTGAATGTAAGAATGATCATGTTAATGATTCATTCATAAGGAAGAAGTTTTCGTACATCTTCTCTTTGTATTCGTGTAATACTGTTTTAATATAATTTTTCCGTCCTGTAAAGGGCAAGTTCACAAGTTTTACTTGTGAACATTTTTTAGAACGAGTATTGTTTTTATATTTCCGCTGCATGTATATACATGTGTCATAGCACTTAATATAACATCCCTGTATTAAACGAATTCGGGACCATAAATTCTTTCAATTGGCATCAAGAGCCAACGCTTGACGTATACTAAGTGTTTGTTCCTATTTTTTCAGAAACGAATTCGTGATGGATACTCAGATGACTGCTTCTATGCGACCTCCTGTACTTGATGGCACAAACTACACCTACTGGAAAGTCAAGATGATGGCGTACATCAAAGCCATTGATGAGAGATCCTGGAGATCTATTCTTACTGGATGGAAGCCACCAACTATCACAGATGCGGATGGGGATGTATTTACAACACCAGAATTACGGTGGACAACAGGCGATCTATCAAATGCCAATCAAAACTCAAAGGCGTAAAATGCAATCTTTAATTCAGTAGGTTTAAATCAAGATCGAAGGAAGTTCTTCATCAAATTCAAGGCGTTCTTCATCAAATCGAGGGCGTTCTTCAACAAATCAAGATCGAAGGAAGATTGAAGGGTCAAATCCATCAAGAACTTCAAGATCTTCAAGTCAAAACCCGTCAAAGTTCAGCGTTCGATCCGAGATTCAAGTCGCAAGACCCTCGAAGACGTTATTCAAATCCAAATCAAATCCGGAGAAGATTAACTCAACGACCCGACTCCAAAATTTAAAGTCAAAACATACATCGTTCTAGAGAGAAGAATCAGAGGATTAAATTAGAGTTTGTAACCCGCAATATTTATTTTTAATTCAATAAAATTATCTTTAATTTGTGCAAGTTTTTCTTGTTTGTCTAAATCGCAGATAAGAATTTGTTGTTACAACTTTCAACTAGAAATAATACAGTTTCATTTATGAACAGTGATGAAACAATTATTTCACTTTGTCCGGTTCAACACATGCCGGGTGTGCTAGCACAATAAGTCAAAACAATAACTACAAAAGTTATTCGCTGTTTACTGTGATCAAGACCAATCACTTAAATATTGTGCTACAATCTTTTACCAATGGTTAGTTCATTTCCATCTAGATTGTAAACGTTTATCTTTATATTCTAAACGAACTTTCGAAATGATCTTTCTGTGCGCCGTAGCACACCATCTCGAATACTATTAGAATATTAGACTTATGCTTTTAATTAATTGACAAACAATCAATTAAATGCATCGAATACCCTAGTGCAGATTCTCATAAAATGATAATAAACTATTTTATTAATTCAATAATAAAATTATGTAGCTAAAAGCGAGACTTTTAGTCTACTATCCTAACAATCAGACTACCACCAATATGAACAACAACTTCATTTGAATGATAACAGTTATATATCAAAAGATCCTCAATATAGTGAGATCTGCAATTTCGTAAACAAAAAAGTACCCAATTGAAATCCTAATACTTTGAAATCCCAAAATACAAAAATTGAACCACAACAACAGAAATCCGTAATCCTTACACCTCTTCGAGGACACGAGATAAATCGACCCTCTTGATTTTTATCTGACCAAGAAGTTTGCAAACCCAACTTCAAATTGCAACCACAAAAACCAAAATCGTTTGGGATGTAGTTGTTTTCACGGAATGTTTTGTGAGATGCGCTTCCACTGACGTTGTTGCTGGACCCAGAGCTCATCTCCAAATATATTAGATAGGAGCATAATCGATTGAGAATAAAATGAAAGAAATTGATCGACTGCGTGAAGCTCTCTTCAGTAGAGAAATCGAATTTTTATTTTTGTTATGAATATATTATGAGCTAATAGTACAGAACCCCATGTGTTATTTCTAATTGGCATAAAAGACCTCATGATAAAATAATTAGCAAAGACCCCCTTACGTTTGGCTTTATATAGCACACCGCTCCTTTTTAACAGATTTAATTGTTGACTTGAATGAAATTACAAAATTAACCTTGATTTAAAAACACAATATACCGAAAATCCAATTGAAAAATTTGTGAAAAGAAAAATAAAAAATAGAGAAGTCTTCTTCTCTTCCCTGTTGACCCACTCCCACCCCAAAATAATTCTTCTTCAACAACCATCAAATAAGCCATTTTTACTGTTCCCCTTCTTCCTTCAATCTTCCACCACCATACCCAACCGTCATTACCTCCACCCGTCGTCGGCGCCGCCCCATACTCTGCCGGTGTTAGCCGTCACCACCATACCCAACCGCCATTACCTCCATCCGCCGCTGCCCCCGCCCCATACTCTGCCCCCATACGCTGCCCCCGTCACCACCATACCCATCCGCCGCCGCCGCCCCATACTCAACATGCTCGTGCCCCTTCTTCGTTGACGGAACTGTGGATATGTCGCCGGTTGAAATGGTCGGAGTTTCTCCGGAGAGATGGAACAGAGGAAAGGAGACCGCTTACCTTCCCCTTTGACATTTGTCAGATTTGGGAGTGGGGAGTTCTGGTGAGGTACCTTCCAAACATTTTGCCGGAAAAAAAATATATTTGCAAAGGAGGGCACCATCAGGAAGCATTGTGTGTGTGTTTTGCGTGAAAATTGTGGAAAGTTTGATTGGGGAGGAGATAATTTGGAGAGAGGGCGTTTTAGAAATTGTCAAGGACTGAATTGAAAATTCTTAAAGCTTCAATTTGGGGTTATGAAAATTTTGAGGCTAATATGTAATTTTCCACTTTTTATTTAAAGGGTATTTATATCTTTTCAGGTCAAAATATGCATCCCAGCCGCACAATGAGCGCGTGCAGAACACGATAAGATGTTAGGGACTTTATTGGCTTTGACTAACTTTCATAGGGGGGTCTTTGCTAATTTTTTTAACATAAAGGGTTTTTCAGCAATTAGAAATTACACAACGGTGGTTCTTGCAAAAAACCCAATATATTATATGTCAATTTATTATTATTCTTATAAAAATGGCATTTTAGTATATTTATCAATTATAATTATATCATCTCACACAAAAAAAACGTGTGAGTAATTTATCACCAGAAATATATTCAAAAAAAGCAAACAAGAGAATAGCAAAGTTACGTATTCATCTTCACCACAAATCTATCTAATCTATATCACCGCCCAACTGCCGGTCTATAGACTATATATACATACCATTCAAAGCTTGCAGCTCAGACTCTCACCATTGAAGAGCAAAAAAACAATAACAAAACTAAAGAAATCATCATTTCATTTCTTCTATCCCTCCCATGGATTTTCCAACATTTCTTCTGGTTGTCTTATCCATCATTTGGATATCTACCATGATTCTTACTTTCAATTCCAGGGCCCGAAAGTCATCCAAACTCCCTCCAGGCCCGAATAGATTCCCCATAATAGGCAACATCCTCGAAATCGGGCCGAAACCCCACAAATCACTCGCCAAATTAGCAGCCAAATACGGGCCGGTTATGTCACTAAAACTCGGTACACTAACAACAGTAATCATCTCCTCCCCCAAAGCTGCAAAAGCAGTGCTTCAAACACACGATTTAATCTTTTCCAGCAGAACAGTTCCCTGCGCCGCCGAAATCCTCAGCCACCACGAATCCTCCATTGCGTGGCTTCCCGCCGAGAATCGATGGCGGAAGCTCCGAAAATTATGCCAAGAGCAGATGTTTTCCGTCGCCAGGCTGGACGCCAGCCAGAATTTGAGGAGAGAGAAGCTGCGGAAGCTCCGCGGCTACGTCGGAGCCTGCTCCGAAACGGGCCGGGCCGTGGATATCGGCGACGCCGCATTCACGACGGCACTGAATTTGATGTCGGCGACTCTTTTCTCGTTAGAATTCGCGCCGGAGTTCGATTCTGATTCGTCGCAGGAGATGAAGGACGTTGTTTGGGGGGTGATGAAATGCGCCGGTAGACCGAATTTTGCGGATTATTTCCCCATTCTTAAACCGGTCGATCCTCAGGGAATCCTCAAAGAAGCAAAGATTTATTTCCAGAAGCTGTTTGTTATTTTTGATGGGATAGTTGACGATAAGTTAAAATCTGGGGGTGAAAGTGGGAAAGAAGATTTGTTGGAGGCCTTGATTGAAATTAACCGAAGGGATGAGAATGAATTAACCAAAAATGAGATCAAACATCTCCTGCTGGTAAGTTCTGCACTTGTTTCCCCAATAGAAAGTAGTTCTATAACTGTTATTTTTTATATATTTTTATTTATATTTTTTATTTTTTGTTAGGTAAACTTAATTAGTCAACTAGGTTTGGAAATCAAATCAAACTTCTCAATATTAAATGATATTTGCTTGGTTGGTTAAAACCTCATTGGAGTTTAGTTTAATAAAACCAAAATTTTGACTTACTATTAGGGCTGAAAGTTATGGAATTTCTAATTTTGCCTGTTCCGATTTAGGAACAACTTTTTTTATTCATGTTTTCGAAATTTTAATTTCAGATTTTTTTAGATTGAAATTGGACTTATATAAATTTGTTTTTAAAATTTTAAATTTTCATTCTGATTTAATTTCTAAAATTAATTTCGAAAAACTATACACACATATATAATATCTTATTTATCTTACTTTGTGTAAATAATTTAAATATTTTACATATTATTACAGAGGTATGTTGGAGACCCAAAATATTTCATTTGCTATTTTTCATGTGAAAAGAGACCTAGTTTATTTCCTAATTTAAACATTTATTATTTCAGGGTTTAGTATTTTTTGTTGTATTTGAATTAATATATAGGTCCCTACAAATAAAAGGAAATAAGTGCTAAATTGAAATCATTATATTTTATTTTTAAAATATACAATTTATCAAATGAGTGGTCTTAATTTTACAATTTTATGAAAGTGAGTGTTCTTATTTTTAAAAATTTGAAAGTAAAATGGAGATGTTTGGTTATGTTTCCAAGGGGAATTTCTAGTTTATTTGTTTTTTGTGTAGAAAATGAGAATATGTTTGGATGAATGGGTATTTTTAGTTTTATGTAAGTGTAGAAATGGGTATATGTTTGGTTGTGGTGAATTTTCTCTACGATAGTACGTGCAAATGTAGAATATAATGATTGAGGATGATGATATTGATGATGATGATTATTATTATTATTATTATTATTATTATTATTATTATTATTATTATTATTAGTAGTAGTAGTAGATAGAGAAATTGAGAAAAGGGAGTGTAGATAGTAATTAAGAGATAGAAATGAGAGGAGAGAGAGTGTGCATGTTAATGAGGAGAGAGAAATGAGTTGATGGAATAAGATAAGATTTGTTTTTTTTTTTCTTTTTTTTTATTATTTTACTAAATTGAATTTTTTTTTTGAGTAATTATTGAATTGAATTTTTTTTTGAGTAATTATTGAATTGAATTTTAAGTTGAATAATTATTGAATTGAATTTTAACTTTTAAGTTTGATATATTTGTTAGGATTTATTCCTAGCTGGAACGGACACCACAAGTGGAACAGTGGAATGGGCGATGGCGGAATTACTAAAACACCCTCATAAAATGTGTCGTGTCAGACAAGAAATCAGAGACACCGTTGGAGAAAACATAGAAGTTGAAGAATCTGACATCGCCCGGCTCCCCTACCTACAGGCGGTGGTTAAAGAGACGTTCCGCCTCCACCCCACCGGCCCTTTGCTGGTGCCCCACAAGGCCAACGCCGACGTTGAAATCAACGGCTACATCGTCCCAAAAAACGCGCAGGTCCTCGTGAATGTGTGGGCGAGTGGCAGAGATCCCGACACGTGGCAGGACGCGGAATCGTTCTCGCCGGAGAGGTTTATGGATGCCCGGCAGATAGATTTCAGGGGGAAAGATTTCGAGCTGATTCCGTTCGGATCGGGGAGAAGGATTTGCCCGGGTTTGCCGTTGGCTTATCGAATGGTGCACCTCATGTTGGCGAATTTGGTCGGAAGTTTTGAATGGAGGTTAGATGGAGATTGTAAGGAAGTTGACATGGATGATAAATTTGGACTCACTCTTCAAAAGGCCATACCTCTAAAAGCTGTTCCTATGAAACTATAGAGTCTAATAAGCATGGAAATAAGGTTGTTTGATGTTTGAGTACTTGGTACACTCGAGCATTTTATGTTTATATATATATATATATATATATATATATATATATATATATATATATATATATATATATATATAGTTACGCTAATATTCCAATTGTGAAATTCTTTATTGTAAACCAAAGGGCTCTTTTGCTTTTGTGGTAAGGATTAGTATGTTAGTATAGATCAGATAGATTTGTGGTGGAGATGATTATGTAATTTTGCTATCCTCTTGTTTGCTTTTTTTGAGTATATTTGTGTTGATAAATTATTCACACGTTTGTTTTGTGTGAGATGATATGATGATTGACAAATATACTAAAATGCCCTTTTTATCTCATATATAAAAGAAAGAAACGCAGAATCTACTTTATGTAATTATGTATTTTTAATATTTTTTCTCTACTAATTTCTAACTATAATTTTTAACAATTACCAAAATTAAAACTAACCCATGAAGAATCTACTTTATTGCTACTTATGTAATTATTTATTTTTAATATTTTTTATGTACTAATTTTTAACTATAATTTTCAACAATTATTGATCTCCTAATTTTCATCAATATGTCTCAAATCTTAAGAGATAAAGCTATAAATTCAATATGAATAATAATATATTATTAAATTTTATTATATTAGTGTACTATGTTTTCAATTATGTATTAAATTGATTATTTTTTTCACTATTTAAATAATATTCCGTGCATCGCATGGAAGAAAAATGCTAGTAAGAATAATAATAAATTTCGATATAATATTTTCATAACATAAAAATAAAAATTTGATTTCTCTACTGAAGAGAGCTTCACGAAGTCGATCGATTTCTTTCATTTTTTTCTCAATCGATTTGCTCCTACCTAATTATAATCCTAATTCTAATGGTAATATTAATCACAAATTCTCATTTTACATCATTTTTTTTGCAATGATCTATTATTTTGTATAAAAACCAATTTTATTCCACCTCGCAACCTTTATATCATATTTCTTATCGATGGTAGTTGAAGCATCCAAAAACACATATTAAATATATTAGAAATTAATATTTAATTATATCAAACTAAAATTAAAATTATTTAATATATTTATAAGGGTATAAGCAAACTTTCAGACCACTACAAGAAATATTGGTTTTAGTGACGATTTTGTATGGTCGCTAAAAGTTAGAAAATGGTAGCTAAAACTTCTAGTGACCAAATTAAGCTTGGTCACCGGTGGTCACAACAGGGTAGTTACTAAAAGTACTCAGTGACAAGAAAATTAATTGGACGCTAAAAGATAAGATTTAGCGGCGAACTAATAATGGTCACTGAAAAATATAATTATTAACGACCAGTTTTTGACTCGCTAATGTAAATTTTATGGTTGCAATAATATTAACATGGTTGCTATAGCAACACATATAGTGGCCATATAATTTTGGTTGCTAAATGATATATACATACAGTGACCAAATTTTATTGTTGCTATAGGATATATATTTGGCAACCATATTTTAGTTGCTACATAATATACATATAGTGACAGTATAAATTGATTGCTAAAATATATACATATAGTGACCATATATTGGTTGCAATGATTTTTACATAATTTCAACAATTGCATTAATTTACTGAGCAATTCGGACAAATAAAAAAAAAAAATCAAAACAAAACTAAAGATTGCAAATTTACATATCATCAATCAAATGTGAATATTATAATTTCAGTCTATCATACTCAATACAATAATAAATCAATCATTCTTAAAAAAATATTGCTATAATTATTCCATAACAAGTTCCACTTCATAAATTGTTACGCGACAACAAATATGACTTCCACAATAACGTTCTTTCACTTCATCAAACACTACCTGAAAAGGAAAAAAAGAATTATTCAATTAGAATATGAGAAATCATATGATAGAATTAATTTCAATTATCTGTCCACTTAGTAGCACTCATAATGCAATAATGTATATGGGCTCTTGCAGAAGTAGCTACTTACCTCATCCGGTCCATGTGTTTAATGTGATACATTGTCTGAGAATTATTAGTTGGGACGAAAATTCTAATTCATTTGTTCTACTTCACATATTAATTGAGGAAGTTTATAACAAAACAATTAATACGAAATATTGCATGCAATGGAACAGAACTTTGATTTCAGAAAACTCGCCTAGATCCCAATGCACAATATAGCCGAACTTGCTCCTCCTGACTCCCTTCATCAATTGACCACCAACCTAGTTACCTGATATAAAAAATTTATCCACAATCAGTAGAAGTAGAGAACTAATTTTGACAAACTTTATTGTTCATTTTTATATAATTTACATTCGGTATACCTAGATGCACGACAAATAAATCTCGTATAATCGTGAGCAGCACCCGGCAATCTAGTACAATTTTCTATATCAGCTCCATTTGATGTAAGAGTGTTGATTTGTTCAAATTTATACATGTCAAATCGTCAAACAAAAAACCTGCTCCTTGCTCCTTGCATTGACAAAAGAGAGAACAAAAATTGAGTATATTTAGCAAAAATTGTAACGATGAGATCAATATATTACCAAATACCAACTCAATATTGTCCAACCAAGAAATTTACTTAGCATACCCTCATATGATGTTATGTCAACTTTTGATCACATTACTTTAAACTTGTTGCTCAATGTGCACAAGACAAATTTCAAATAAATAATGGCCTAAATAGATGCTAACTAAGGACATTAAATATGCAATCAAAGTACATAATATTCAGCATACCTGGATCCACGACAAATAAATCTCGTATAAACGTGAGCAGCACCCGGTGATCTAATACTATTTTCTGTATCAGCTCCATCTAAAATACGAGTGTTAATTTGTTTAAATTTATACATGTCAAATAAAAAGCCAACTTCTTACAGTAACAAAAGAGAACAAAAATTGAACTGCATATACTTAGCAAAAATTGTAACGATGAGATCAACACATTACCAAATACTGACTCAATATCGTCCAACCAAGTCCAACCAAGAAATTTACTTAACATACCCTCATATGATGTTATGTATAATTCATGCACATCATAGCAAATAATATTTTTCCTATTAAGCAACAGTAAAGATATTACAAAGAAAAAAATAAACATAAATAAATAACACTCTTGAACCTAAATATATGGTACCAAAGAACAAAATTCAATACATACCGACCTTTTTGAGTAGAAGTTTCTTCCCATTGAAATCAATTTTCTCGTTCAGTTCCCACCTGTAATGTTTTGTGTTCTCCAAATCCTAATAGTATTACTTGATCAAAATAAGACGTGCCACACGAATTAAGTAAATAACTTGAAGAAATAACTAACAAAGTTTTCTCACCTCGAGTTAGCACCAAAAGCAGCACCATAGACCAAAATTTTCTTAGGTACACAACAACGAATGACACACCTGAAATAAGAATCCATTAGTTTCTAAAGCTTCACTTTCGATCACATTACTTTAAACTTGTTGCTCAATGTGCATAAGACAAATTTCAAATAATTGATGACTCGGAGTGATGCTAATTATGAACATTAAACTAGAAGCCAACGTTACTTGTTGTCACATTTTTTTCCAAAAATTGTAGCAGGCCGTACGCTTATCCAAATTGGGAAAATAATATACCAAATAAAATTTTCACAACTTTATCTACAATTTTTATGAAGATACCAACCCCAAATTACTAAGATAACACAGCAATAACAGCCCTAAGAGATGAATACACAAAACTGTCAGAATTGTTTTGGACAAACTTGTTTGCTGTCACAGCTTATTTGAAAAATCATAATAATTTGTAGAGTTATCCAAATTGACCAAATAATATACCAAATCAAACCTGGCAACTCAATATACAAAACTTCAGAAGACACATAGCCTAAATTATTACTCCAACATAACAAAAACAGCTCCGTAAGATGATTAGGCAAAACTGCCCTGTTTTTTGACAGATTCACTGTCGTCTGATTCCGACCCCTAAAAGGCTATAACACGTGCTCGAATTTGAAAAAATTAAACACTTACTCTTAGTTTTCGAGGTCCTATACGAGTTTTGAGAAGGAATTATTCCCAAATTCACACTCCAAACCCTTCGAATTTGGCTCCAAAACAGGTGCGGTAGCAGATTTTATTTCCCTTAGGGTTCCGGCGAGCAGGCTGAATTTCACACCAAATTTCGGCGACCCCGCCGAATAAAACCGCCGAGCACCACCATCAATGGGAAGCTAACTTCTCGAGCTTTGTAACGGTACCTTTTATCATCAATAATCCACCGTTAAGACCTCCGTTCATTTAATTCTTTGAAGAGCCAAAAGCTGAACTCCAGATTACGGCCACCATCGGCGACCTCCGCCGGAAATCACCAACTCCCGTGTACATCTGAAATCCAATTATTCCAACGGTGGGTCCCAGGGTTCGCCGGAACGGAACGGGAACGGTGCCCTCCGTTCCGGAATCCCTAACCAAACCCATTTTTGCACTGTGACGCGCTGGAACACCGAGAATCCGGGATAGCGGCGGGACGGGCGAGATGGAACCACAGAACGGCCCTGTCGCGGCTGGAACGGGTTGGAGCGGCCGAAACGGTAGAAAAAAGAATTGGAGGAAAATCTGATTAAAAAAAAAAAAAAAAAAAAGAAAAAGGAAAACGGAAAAGAGGAAGACGGGGAGGCCTAGTCGTGGTCTGATGGACACCTAAATCTGAGTCAGAAGTTCTTTAAGTTTCCAAAATTTGCAATCTAGTCCTTATTGCTTTTTATTTCTCTTAAAGTAAAGAAATATTTTTATAGCTTACAATTTCACCCTCTATTTATACTTCTCAAGGTTTAAAAAATTGTTCTAAAATTAAGATTAGAGTTTTAATGATAATTTGTATAGTATTCTACTATAATATTAATATTAAAACTTATTTGACATTAATTATATTTTTCGTATTTTTATTATAATTTATCCGTTTCAGCCGTGACGCGACCGCGACGCAGTCTTTCCATTATTTGAAAGAAATGCGTGTAACGAAAGAATGAGAATTGCCTTTGTTTTTCCATTATTTGCATTTTCTCTCTCCATCAAATTTTCTTTTCTTAATTTGTTTAAAAATTAAATTACTACATAATCGATTATATTTCCATAAGTAGTTTCATAGCAACCAAATTAAAGTGGTTACTAGCAACTCAATTAGATGGTTGTTAATAATTAAATTAAAGACTTGTAGCAACTGTCAAAAAAATTGATGTTAAATTGGTCGCTATTGAAACTAAATTATAGTGACCATAAAAATTGTCGCTACAAACATTAACTTTAGTTGCTACAAGATGTCTAATTATTAGTGACCACTTATAGCTACCAAATGTTCGTCGGTCGCTAAAGGATTTACTCCTTCCGATTTTTGCTACCAAATTACTTTTGGTCACTAACTGTGAATATTCAGTGACCATTTAGTTATGGTCGCTGAGAATTTGGTCACTGAAACTAGTTTTTCTTGTAGTGGACGTAAAAGAAATAATCGTTGTCAATAAAATAAATTACGAAAATCCTCCTGAACTTAGGGTAAATTGCGGAAAACACCCCCATTTATATGTAATTGCCAAAATCACCCCGATGTTTGTTTCTGTCTTACACGACCCCCTATGGTGTGATGTTTTACGAAATCTTTTTTATTCTATGTAATTTCCCAAAAAATATGCATTCTACCCTTGCAGACATGATATTTCTTTTATCCTACTTTCTAAATAAAAAAACTACCCTCAGGGGTGGTCATGGTAAAACTAAAAAGTTGTGAAGGTGTTATATAAGAAGAATAAAGATATCGTGTAAAGTCCCCCTCATGGTGTCCATTTAGAAAATGGCATGTGGGAATTAGATATATGAATAAATTAATTATACTTAATTAAAAATTATTTAATACCTATGGTTGGAGCAAGTACATTTAGATAAATATCAAAATAAAATATTAAACATCACATAATATTTGCAAACTCATTTTGATATTTTTGGTTGGAGTTGCTCTTGATATTTAATTAATTATATTTATCAGAGTTATAGTGAAATACTTATTAGTAGAATACAATATATAGTAAATACGATCATTATACATTTTAAACAAAACAATTGATATTCGTAATATATCTTTGGTATTAAATAAAGTGAATCAACGAATTTAATACAACATATTTAGAGTAACATTGTTATATATTTTTTTTAGATGAACATTGTTATATTTTGAAATATATAAAATCAATTCGTTTTTTTTATCAATTTATTAAACTTAACTTATGTTATTCAATTTATTAGTATAATCATGATAAAGTTTGTATTTTAATTAATATATAATTAAATGAGTTAAATTAATCGTGAAATTTGTTGTCACTATATTCAGTGAAGATAAAATAGTTGTTTAAATAATAACATGAAATTCATGTAATTTAATTTTCAATATGATAAATAATTGGGAGTACATTATTATACACAGGCAGAAGAAGAAAAAATAGTGTCAATTTTTGCAATATAGTAAATTCGAACATGTATCTTTCTTTTTTACAGATAATATAAATATAAAATATTAAATTAGTAAAAAAAAAAGACATATTCTCTGGTCATGTTCATGTAAAATGTATAATATCTAATTTATTATGCAATATTCTTTTTAATATAAATCCAAGTTTATGAATTAAAATACAAAATTTCCGTAACACCACCAATCAGACAATTATAATAAGGGAAAATTTGAAATTGAATTTAAATAAATTCAAATTAAATTAATTACTATTAAATTTAAATTAAAAAAAAATTTATTTAGAGTTTCCAAAAATTTGATATATTTAGAGCATTTTATATATGGTATGATATAAATATATTAATAAAATTATTAAATATATTTCATTACCTTTAATTTTGGAAAATGATGACATGTTTTTTGATGATTTATTACCACCAATCATTTTGCCACTTGGGATGAAATTGAGTACATGTCACCAATTAAAATTGCCAAAATGTCAATCAATTAGGTGTGAAATTCAACTTTTATATATTAATAGATAGATGAGTTAGAAATATTTGAAACACAAAAAAGTTGAATGTCTCTTTTTTAATTAAGTGCGCTTGTCATAGGCCTCTTTGCCATTAACCCAAAAAATAATTATATATGAAAAACCCCTGTCGAACAGTGACCTTAGTAGTGCGTCCCGGTCAATGTCCGGTCCGTTTCAAAACATTGCTTTCTATATCCAACACACCAACAAGTGAATCCTCAAATGATTCGTTTGAAACCAAAATTATTCGGACTAATAAAAAGAGTACCCATGTATACCCTAGCCGATCCGACCACCCACTTATGCTGAGTATTGAAACTAATTACCGATCTGACCATTATAGATCGGAAAATGGTTGGCAACCGACTTTGTCGATTAACAATGGGTTGGTTGGTAGTTTAATCGGCCATCTGTTTATTCATTTTTCTTTTTACAATAATGAGATGTTTAAAAAAAATTGCAAATACTACCCCTGTGTTATCTCGAAATAGCGGAAACCCCCCTGTGATAAATAAACTAGCAAAAACCCCCCTGTGAAATTTAGTCAAAGGCAAAATCCCCCCTAGCTGATTTTTTAGACTTGAAATGACAAAATTGTCCCTCAAAATGTATTTATATATATACATATTATATGTATATTTATTCTTTTTAATTTATTTGTTTAGAAATTAAAAAAAATAGTAAAAAACTAAATTGATTATTTTTTAAATAAAATAATTAAAATATTTATAAAATATAAGAATTTATTAATTGCAAGACTCCAGGGGTATTTGTGTCTTTTTATATCAAGTCAACCCTCAAATAGTTCCATAAGGGGGTTTTTGCTATTTAAATAATTTCATAGGGGAGGTTTTTGCTAGTTTATTTATCACAGGGGGGTTTTTGCTATTTTGAGATTATACAGGGGTAGTTTTTGCAGTTTACTCATAAGAAGATATTTAATATTTTGGGAAAACTTATGTTACAAAAATCTTAACTTTAAAATTGAAAGTCTTTTTTTTTTTTTTTTTTATATTAAATTTCTACAGTATGTGAATATATAAACAAAAATATGAAATATAAACAAAATAGAAATCGTACGTAAAGGTTTATAAATTTGTGTTTCGAGTTTTTTAAGTTTGACTTATTTTATATATAATTTCAACGTTAAGAAAATAAGAATTACAAATGTTTATAATAAATTTTTATAATTAAAAAAGTCGATTGACCCGATATTATCCAACCAACCGACTTTGAGTAAACTGAAAACCACCGACCGACCTATCTATACATGCATATGTGTCGGTTAAAATTACTAGCCCATTAAATATTACTGACCAAAAAATCCGGATCGAAGTGAATCGGTCGGCCGATATTAAAACCGACCCATGTCCAACCCTAGTT